CGTTGTTATTTTTTGTTTAAACAAAATCAGTGTACAGCACATAGGAACGCAAACATAAAAACATCACTATGTTTCCTGCTAAACGGAGTGTCCATGTATGTAGTGATAAGGTGCTGCCACTGCTAAATCGAAGCATTCATAAGCATTGCCAGCCTATTCTCTGACTTGGATGGCTTAAAGCTACACTGCTCAGCGACCATCTCTCGTGGACTTACTGCCTTTTACTATAACAATGTATTGGGTGCAGTGATTAATATCTGCATTGACACAGTGCCTCAATGTGTAACGACCCAGAATAAAAGATACAATGGTACTTCTAAGTTTTGCACAAGCCCCTCACTATAACGAACGGTACCCTACCAACTACAACATAACTTTATTCAAGAGGCTCTGTCAATCTTTAAATGAGACATTTGCTCTCCCAGCAACCCTTACCAAATTATTATCTAGGCAATGATGCTGCTACTACTATATTGTTTTACAAGTACAAATTGCTAATAAAACAATTACAACCACTTGCAACGACTTTAATGTTAATGCAGTTTATGCAGTTGGGTAAAGGTCCAAAAACTTAAATAAATACCACTCCCGTGCAGTGCGAAGTGGTTGTTACCCGCAACAGCCTATCAAAAGGGTGCTTAACCCAGCCCTCCCACCCACCCACGCCCCCTTACCGACTCCTCCCCCTCCCTTAACCTGTATATAATCCCGGTTGTCTCTGAACTGTGCTCCTGACACAGATATTCTGCGTTGACTTTTCCACCTGAAAACGGAAGCTTGTGTTGCCTCCGAAACGTCGTGATTTAATTATTTTATTTTATCTACGCGACTTTACCGAATAAAACCAAAGAGTATAAATACCACAAACCCAAGATATGAAAGATTGACTATATACCATCTATGAACATCGAGTTCTCAATTACAGTGAGGGAAAAAAGTATTTGATCCCCTGCTGATTTTGTACGTTTGCCCACTGACAAAGAAATGATCAGTCTAAAATTTTAATGGTAGGTTTATTTGAACAGTGAGACAGAATAACAACAAAAAAATCCAGAAAAACGCATGTCAAAAATGTTATAAATTGATTTGCATTTTAATGAGGGAAATAAGTATTTGACCCCCTCTCAATCAGAAAGATTTCTGGCTCCCAGGTGTCTTTTATACAGGTAACGAGCTGAGATTCGGAGCACACTCTTAAAGGGAGTGCTCCTAATCTCAGCTTGTTACCTGTATAAAAAGGCACCTGTCCACAGAAGCAATCAATCAGATTCCAAACTCTCCACCATGGCCAAGACCAAAGAGCTCTCCAAGGATGTCAGGGACACGATTGTAGACCTACACAAGGCTGGAATGTGCTACAAGACCATTGCCAAGCAGCTTGGTGAGGTGACAACAGTTGGTGCGATTATTCGCAAATGGAAGAAACACAAAATAACTGTCAATCTCCCTCGGCCTGGGGCTCCATGTAAGATCTCACCTTGTGGAGTTGCAATGATCATGAGAACGGTGAGGAATCAGCCCAGAACTACACGGGAGGATCTTGTCAATGATCTCAAGGCAGATGGGACCATAGTCACAAAGAAAACAATTGGTAACACACTACGCCGTGAAGGACTGAAATCCTGCAGAGCCCGCAAGGTCCCCCTGCTCAAGAAAGCACATATACATGCCCGTTTGAAGTTTGCCAATGAACACCTGAATGATTCAGAGGACAACTGGGTGAAAGTGTTGTGGTCAGATGAGACCAAAATGGAGCTCTTTGGCATCAACTCAACTCGCCGTGTTTGGAGGAGGAATGCTGCCTATGACCCCAAGAACACCATCTCCACCGTCAAACATGGAGGTGGAAACATTATGCTTTGGGGGTGTTTTTTCTGCTAAGGGGACAGGACAACTTCACCGCATCAAAGGGACTATGGACGGGGCCATGTACCGTCAAATCTTGGGTGAGAACCTCCTTCCCTCAGCCAGGGCATTGAAAATGGGTCGTGGATGGGTATTCCAGCATGAAAATGACCCAAAACACATGGCCAAGGCAACTAAGGAGTGGCTCAAGAAGAAGCACATTAAGGTCCTGGAGTGGCCTAGCCAGTCTCCAGACCTTAATCCCATAGAAAATCTGTGGAGGGAGCTGAAGGTTATGTCAAACATTCGGCCCATTTCCAATCTCCCCTTTCTGTCCAAGATACTGGAACGCACTGTCGCCAAACAACTCAAAACCCACCTTTCCTCAAATGACCTGTTCGAACCATTTCAATCTGGCTTCCGTTCACAACACAGCACTGAAACAGCCCTCCTCAGAGTTACCAACGACATCCTCCTCTCCGCAGACTCTGGTCACCTCAGCATCCTCATCCTCCTGGACATCACTTCAGCTTTTGACACTATCAACCACACCATTCTTTTCTCTTGCCTCAAATCTACCCTCAACATCACTGGCACCGCCCTCTCCTGGCTCCAATCTTATCTCACCGACAGACAACAGTTCATCCACATCAACAACTGCACCGCCTCCACCGCTCCGTTGTCCCAAGGTGTCCCCCAGGGCTCGGTGCTTGGTCCTTTGCTCTTCATACTATACCTGCTTCCCCTTGGCAACGTCATTCGCCACCATGGTCTTAACTTTCACTGCTATGCCGATGATGTCCAGCTCTACATCTCCACCAAATCCATCACCTCCGCTACCCACTCCACTCTCTCTAACTGCCTCGCTGACATTAAATCGTGGATGCGCAACAATTTCCTTAAACTTAACTGCGACAAAACAGATATGATCATCATCGGTCCCAAATCTATCAATAAATCCATTCACAGTTTCTCCGTCACTGTCGACACCTACACCCTGTCTCCATCCCTTCAAAGTCGCAACCTTAGAGTCACTTTTGATACTAACCTCTCCTTTGAACACCACATAAAACAAATCACCAGAACTGCCTTTTTTCACCTCAAAAACATCTCCAGACTTCGCCCATCACTCTCTTTCTCCGCTGTAGAAACCCTCATCCACACCTTCATCACCTCCAGAATCGATTACTGCAACAGCAGTAATCGACAGCAGTAATCGATTCCTATACGGCACCTCAACCAAAACATTAAATAAACTCCAGTACATCCAGAACTCTGCTGCTCATCTGCTCACTCACGCCCGCACTGATGACCACATTACCCCTGTCCTCCAGAACCTCCATTGGCTCCTGGTCCCACAACGAATTCAATTCAAAATCCTCCTCCTCACACATAAAGCCCTTCATAACCAGGCCCCGTCCTACCTCACTGGCCTGCTCCACCGCCACAACCCATCCCGTAGCCTTCGCTCACCTGAGGCCAACCTCCTGACTCTACCTCTCAGGACCAAGCATCGAACCTGGGACGACAGAGCCTTCTCTATAGCTGCCCCCTCACTTTGGAACTCTCTCCCAAAACAAATCCGTGACTGCACCGACCTTCCAGCGTTCAAATCATTGACTAAAACTCACCTTTTTAAAATTGCTTTGAATGTTTAGCTAAGTTTGATGTGTTTTTAGGGTTTTTACCATTTGATGTTGTTTTTGCTGCTTTTATGATTTTATGTAAAGTGTCTGAGTATTCAGAAAAGCGCTCACAAATAAAATGTATTATTAAGGTTCGAGTTGCCAAACGTCAGCCTCGAAACCTTAATGACTTGGAGAAGATCTGCAAAGAGGAGTGGGACAAAATCCCTCCTGAGATGTGTGCAAACCTGGTGGCCAACTACAAGAAACGTCTGACCTCTGTGATTGCCCACAAGGGTTTTGCCACCAAGTACTAAGTCATGTTTTGCAGAGGGGTCAAATACTTATTTCCCTCATTAAAATGCAAATCAATTTATAACATTTCTGACATGCGTTTTTCTGGATTTTTTTGTTGTTATTCTGTCTCTCACTGTTCAAAAAAACCTACCATTAAAATTACAGACTGATCATTTCTGTCAGTGGGCAAACGTACAAAATCAGCAGGGGATCAAATACTCTTTTCCCTCACTGTAAATAACAAGTCCATTCGTGAACAAAGATTACCAATGTAATGGGAACACAGCAATTATTTTTGCAGTTAGATCTACAGTACCTATACTGAGTCCCTTTGAATATTTGCATTTCATAAAATACAACATGCAGTTCTTGGAACTGGTCTGCAAGCTTGCTGGAGAGATGGAAATCTCAGAACAAAGAGGTTTCTTAAAGAGAGGTCAGCCCAAGTGTCGACGCACACTTTGTATCCAATCCAAACAAGCGTTGCTTGATTCAGCAGACAAATAAATGTATGTTTAAAAAAAAAAACTCGAAATTTAGATTCATGTCTGGGTTTTGTCTTGCATTCTAAAACATGAAATCTGCATTTCAGGATTTTAATAGAATATCACTGTTATGAATGGACATCACTTAAGTGCATCGTCACCCCTTCCTTCGCGACCATACATATACAATAGCTCTTTAATTAAGCCCACTTCAAGTCAAGCACGCACACCCTCACACGTGGTCGTTTTTTTAATCTGCGGGTGCAGGGCGCACTCACAATCTTGAGAAATGATCCCTGACCAATCTCCCCCAATCTCTCTGCGTGGTCGCCCACCCCGTCACGCTCTCCAGCTCAGTCCTCCCGTATGCTGCTCCCACTTGGCGTCGTGGCGTCTGTCTCTTCTCCAATGCGTACTTCGTTTGGCCTGCTTGCCCCCCCCCCCGCTCCCCCCATGTGCTCTCCACACTCAAGTCTGGCCTGGTCCTGACTTCTTTCCTGATTAAACCCTGTTCCAGCCCCTTCCATACACACACATACACACACTCTTCAACGATCTCTCCTCCGAATCCGCCGCTGTCTCCCTCTCAACTGCCTCCCCCCCCACCACCACTCACTTCTCCAGCCACTCCGTCCAATCCCTCTTGAGCCAATTACATCCGTTTTGTTTTGGCTTTCGTCTTTGATTAACCTATTTTTCTTGCTGTCTCTCACACCAAGCGTCGTTAGCAATTAACACGGGTTAATTGAGAACGCTACATTTGTTTTAATGTAAGTTTCATTATTCACGAGACATCCACTTATTTTGATCTTCCAGTGACCAAAAACCACATTACTTACTTTTAAACTAGGCAATTACGTGTAGTTCACAGGTGAATTGTTAATTACAAAGCGAGAGGTTATTCCACAGGTGAAACAAAAGCTTTGAATAGGAGAATATGTTTAACGCTTATTTGGATTCAACATCCTGGGTTGTGTGCTGCACGGTATGAAATCCACTATTACAATGCATTTCAATTTCCTAATCTACTAATTACAAACAAAATCATATACATTGACTTTACTTAAAAATACACACCTTCGCAATGTTTAAAAGGACCTTGCTTTTCCACCTTTCAAGTATACAGGTTATAGGTACTGAAAGCACACACGACAGGATTCCTTCTCAGGAAACATTTTTGGACAAAATTTTTTTTTGTACAGCCTTCTGTAGCTATTGCATGACGTCGGTTACCAAACTCTACAACGTGACAAATCATAAACCGTACACATTTTTTGCTATAAAGTTCGGCCTCCTCCCCCTTCACAACTTGCATTCTCTTCATGCCTATGCAAACTTCTCGAGCGACAACAATCCAAGGTTGCACTTCGATACTTGGGGAGAAATCAGGGAAGCATATCATTCTGTTCGAGAGGAAAAAAGAACTTGCATTTCTTTAAAGTAACATGAACTGCATTCTGGCACAGAGTTGACGGAAAATGCAATTTAAACATTTCCAAGACTTTCGAATCCCTGGGAGATACAAAAAGCTCATTATTGTGGAATAAAATTGCAAAGCCACGTTTGGCTGTATGTTTTTGAAGTTTTCGTTGTTTGCATGTTCAACAGTCAGCTTTGCTTTTGTCAAGACATCCAGAGATTTTGGCCAGGGTCTTCTTGATACGGAGGGCAGTCAGGCGGGCCGATGGGTTTTGGTACCAACATTCCTTCATCAGTTTGGCCAGCGCCGTCAGGCTCTACGGTAGGAGAAGAAGGGAATGAATAGTATATACGCACACACACACAAAAACACATGCAGACTCACACACATACATGCACGCAGAGGACGTCAGAATGAAACAGCTCGATACAAAGCAGTATACACAAACTGAATGATCCGGGATAAAAAAAAATATTTTAAAAGTACAATAAGATTCACATATTTGAGATGAGATAATGTCTGTCAATGATACTTCTGTTTTCAATTATGGTGGTTTTATATAAAATAGTTACATTACCAGAGTGGTAATGTTACGTGTTTCAATCCCAATCAGGGATCAACACAGCCCATCATCCCTCAAGGGTCGATAGAATGAGCACCACTTCTGTGGGAAGTCAACACCATTTGACCTATGTGTGGCCGCACTACAGGAACGGTTCACGAATGCCAGTAGAGATGGGCATCATCACCATGCTTTGACTTCTGAATATTCAACAGGTTACTGCAATATCACACACAGACATGACCAGAAAAGGAAACAAATTCCTTGTTGTGCAACTGCAACTTGCATCTGCCAAATGTGTGGGTTTACCGGGTCAGAGAACCAGCGGTTGGGGATGTTCGGTCGTTGCTGCTCCACACAAACCACCTTCTTCATCTCATCGAAGCTCGGATCGCTGGGCACTGCGTCATGGAAGGGCACGCGGTATTCTTCCGCAATGCCTAATGAGAGTATTAAACAAAAACAAAAAAACTCTTAATTTAGTAGCATAATTAAGATATACTAAACGTAGCGCTTTTGAGTAGATTAAAAATGTAGGTAGAGTACAAACATTCTAGATTTGAAGTTTTCGTGACTGCGAAGATCCATACTCTTTGGTTCTTTCGGTAAGCACACGTAGGTAAAAAATAAATAAATACAAAAATGAAAAAAAAACTAAATTAAATCACGACGTTTCGGAGGCAACACAAGCGTCCTTGCTGTGCTTTTTTTTTACACCTGTTAAAGGAAGCTTATGTTGCCTCCGAAACGTCGTGATTTAATTGAGTTGTTTTTCATTTTTGTTTTATTTCATTACATTTTTTATTTACCTACGTGACTTTACCGAAAGAACCAAAGAGTAGAGTACCAACATGTTTAAAAGCCAACGACTTTCCCAAAAAAGAGGCAGACAAAAAGTAAACAATTTTAAGCCAATTGGTCTCATAAAATCTTAAGGGAAGGAGGAAAGTGTTTGTGATTGTTTGACCGTGCGTGCGCGCGTGTGATACGCACCATTACTGAGAGTACGGCGCGCGATCTCCCAGAGAACAAGCCCCAAAGCCCAGATATCGGCACGCTTGTACGCATCAAAGCAATCTGTCTGTAGCGTCTCATCCAACACCTCTGGCGCCATGAACCGCACCGTGCCCACGCGTGGGTTTTGCCCAATGTCCAGCCGGCTCCACTCCTGCGAATGCATCACAGCGAGGCCTGCAGGCCGAAAGCACGTTACATATGTCACATCAACGTCCGACTTGTGTGCGATTTGCCACCGTCTATTCCTTCAAGGGGTCGTGGTGGGGGTGCCACCGATGCCTCGGCTGTCAACTCTCTGCACTTTCCCCCGTCCTTTGCAGTGCATGTTCTTGCAGAAACGAATGCAAGAAATAAAATATATATTTGCTTCTGTTGTGAACACGGACTGATAAGTCAACACAACATCAAATACTGAAAAGGACAGGCAAAAGCGGAGAGAGGTGACAGCCAACATTCCAAAGTGACAACCTCTCCAAAACAATTTAAAACAAAAACAATCTTATTTGCTAAATCTTTGCAAAATAATTGGGGAAGTCCTTTCTTCACGCACCAAGGTCAGCAATGCAGCACTGGCCATTGCCCTTCACCAAGATGTTCTTGCTCTTGAGGTCACGATGCGCGATGGCAGGCTTTCCGTGCGTGCCAAAGATCTCCCCGTGGAGGTGAGAAAGGCCGGCGGCCACAGACAGGGCGAGGCGCAGGCAGGAGGACGCCTCCAGGGGCCAGCGCTGCAGCCAATCGTAGAGCGAGCCACACTCGTGGTAGTGTGTGATGAGCCAAAGCTGAGTGCTCGAGTTGCGTGACGTCATGTCCGACGCAATGAATCCTGAAATGGGCAAACGAGCGACTTTGATTTATAAAACGGCCTTTTTTCTTATTACGTGAATGAATCTCGATTTGAAATCGATAGCGAAATATGTATGCTGCAACGATTCATATATGTAAAAAAACAGACAACTGCTGCCAAGGCAAATGTTAAGAGTGTGGCGGAACAGCGGACGCACAAACACGCTATTTGTAAGACAGTAGCAAGTGCATCACAATCGCGCATTGTGCTGTGGTGCGACTCTCGCACCGAGAATGTTCTCGTGCCGGAGCAGCACCGTGTTGTAGATTTCCGTCTCGCGGCACCAAGACTTCTCGTCTCTCGAAGAGAAGATTTTCACAGCGACGTTTTCACCCTGCCACTGTCCGCGCCACACCTCGCCGTACCGCCCCTTGCCTAGTCGAGGAAACGCGACAATGCACATCAACTTGCGTTTAAAAACGCACGGCTGCACATACTTGGTAAGGCTGGCGGGGTTGCTACATTTATCTGTGGTAGGGGTGGCCAAGCTGTAATGTAAAAGTACCCATGAGTTCTGCAAAGTATATATAAGTGTATATATACAGCGAGGGAAAAAAGTATTTGATCCCCTGCTGATTTTGTACGTTTGCCCACTGACAAAGAAACGATCAGTCTATAATTTTAATGGTAGGTTTATTTGAACAGAGAGAGACAGAATAACAACAACAAAAATCCAGAAAAACGCATGTAAAAAATGTTATAAATTGATTTGCATTTTAATGAGGGAAATAAGTATTTGACCCCCTCTCAATCAGAAAGATTTCTGGCTCCCAGGTGTCTTTTATACAGGTAACGAGCTGAGATTAGGAGCGCACTCTTAAAGGGAGTGCTCCTAATCTCAGCTTGTTACCTGTATTAAAGACACCTGTCCACAGAAGCAATCAATCAATCAGATTCCAAACTCTCCCCCATGGCCAAGACCAAAGAGCTCTCCAAAGATGTCAGGGACAAGATTGTCGACCTACACAAGGCTGGAATGGGCTACAAGACCATTGCCAAGCAGCTTGGTGAGAAGGTGACAACAGTTGGTGCGATTATTCGCAAACGGAAGAAACAGAAATGAACTGTCAATCTCCCTCGGCCTGGGGCTCCATGCAAGATCTCACCTCGTGGAGTTGCAATATCATGAGAACGGTTAGGAATCAGCCCAGAACTACACGGGAGGATCTTGTCAATGATCTCAAGGCAGATGGGACCATAGTCACAAAGAAAACAATTGGTAACACACTACACCGTGAAGGACTGAAATCCTCCAGTGCCCGCAAGGTCCCCCTGCTCAAGAAAGCACATATACATGCCCGTCTGAAGTTTGCCAATGAATATCTGAATGATTCAGAGGACAACTGGGTGAAAGTGTTGTGGTCAGATGAGACCAAAATGGAGCTCTTTGGCATCAACTCAACTCGCCGTAGTAGTAATAGGTTTTACCCTTTTAACTGGCACAGAAAACTGACCTTTATTCAAGGCATCATGTCTGCAATTCGCCGTGTTTGGAGGAGGAGGAATGCTGCCTATGACCCCAAGAACACCATCCCCACCGTCAAACATGGAGGTGGAAACATTATGCTTTGGGGGTGTTTTCTGTTAAGGGGACAGGACAACTTCACCGCATCAAAGGGATGATGGACGGGGCTATGTACCGTCCAATATTGGGTGAGAACCTCCTTCCCTCAGCCAGGGCATTCAAAATTTGTCGTGGATGGGTATTCCAGCATGACAATGACCCAAAACACACGGCCAGGGCAACAAAGGAGTGGCTCAAGAAGAAGCACATTAAGGTCCTGGAGTGGCCTAGCCAGTCTCCAGACCTTAATCCCATAGAAAATCTGTGGAGGGAGCTGAAGGTTCGAGTTGCCAAACGTCAGCCTCGAAACCTTAATGACTTGGAAAAGATCTGCAAAGAGGAGTGGGACAAAATCCCTCCTGAGATGTGTGCAAACCTGGTGGCCAACTACAAGAAACGTCTGACCTCTGTGATTGCCCACAAGGGTTTTGCCACCAAGTACTAAGGCATGTTTTGCAGAGGGGTCAAATACTTATTACCCTCATTAAAATGCAAATCAATTTATAACATTTTTGACATGCGTTTTTCTGGATTTTGTTGTTGTTATTCTGTCTCTCACTGTTCAAATAAACCTACGATTAAAATTACAGACTGATCATTTCTTTGTCAGTGGGCAAACGTACAAAATCAGCAGGGGATCAAATACTTTTTTCCTTCACTGTATATTGACAATTTTCGGCACAATACGGGTAATATTCATTATTCTTCTCAACTATGATAGTACGTTCTACGTTATGCCCTTGCGATAGTCGCATGCGGTGGATTAAAGAGCCGCATGCTGCTTGGGAGACGCCAGTTGGCCACCTCTGGTCTACGGTAAATGTATCAAATATCTTCGTCTCCATTAACCAATACATTTATTCGATTCGTGTAACCTAAAATAATAACTACCCAAATGCTCAAGAGGTAAACATTTCCCAGAATTCACTCAACACAAATGTTCAAGGCACCGCACAAAAAACTCCGTGCGTCTGGATGCGAATAAGGTTCAGTACCGGCGGGTCAAGCGTCAACATCTGCCACCTTACCGACGCATTCAATGAGCGTGATTTGACGAGCCACTGTCCGCTGTACAAGAAAAGGGAGGCCTGAGCCACTGCCCGATGTACAGGAGTGGTCCAACAAGTCCTGCCATTGGGGGAAACAAAAAGCAAATTAATTTTGTTGTCAATGGCGCACTAAAACATACCACGGATGATTAATGTTGAATGCGTGTATGTTGAACTTATTGCGCATCGTACATAGCCGGTGCGAAAGAAGTTCAACATCCATAAATACATGCACTCTTTGGTTCTTTCGGTAAAGCCACGTAGGTTTATTTTATTTTCTACCTACGTGACTTTACCGAAAGAACCAAAGAGCATAGATTCCTCCAGTCACGACAGCTTCGAATCAAGATAAATACCGGGCAAGAAAGGCTAAATGGGAGACTAAATGTGGGGCTAAATGGCAACCTGCATACGTTTGTTGAGTTACAGTTGTCACAAGCCCATACCAGTCGAACTGTGAGTTGTGAACGTGTTGGCCCCTTCGGCAAAAGCGCGACATCCAATTTACGACAAATTCCCCTCTTGCATTAACTTGTTAGTATGTGCAAACACTGTACATATGCTTCCCATTATCGGTGAAAGGAGTTAACTTCATTGAGGACAAACATCAGATAGCATGTATAAAATACAGCTATTGTGTTTAAACCCAGACTGGTGTTTAGGTGTGAAACTAAATAGCTGATGTATTTGGCTCTTCACTCGTGACATCCAAACCAATGTCTATATATCGCTGAAATTATAATAATTATTTCAGACGATACACTGACGTAAAGTATACTGCTTGAGAGTAAAAAGGAGTTAAGTGCTAGTTTGTCCAGTACTCTACTTCACGGGACAATCATTGAAGGCAGATCGAGATCAAAATTATGAAATGAAGTTATAAATAAGGGTGAGATGGAGCAACATTTGAAAGCTGAACTTGACAAGAAAACCCAATATAACAATGCCTCTAAAGAAGAAAGATTTGAATCAGTGCATACTTCTCCTGCTCGGACATTTGGATTGGAAACATGAACAGAGATGGGGAGGATTGAACAAAAAGCTCAAAAATGCACTAAGAAGTTTGGAGAGATACGCACTTGGGATTATGCAGAGAAAGGGAACAAGGATTGGAGAAGGTATGGCCCGGTTCGAGGCACTGAGTTTGGCCGGTTTAGAAAGGCAAACGGACCTCGGCAGGGCGCATCGCTGGAAGGGATGACGGTCGCTGGGCGAGATAAAGTACGCGGTGGCAGCCAAACAAGAGGCGCAGCACAGAGGTGGAGCGATTGAGATCAGCTCGTGAGCAGGTGCTAGGTGGGGATTGTTGTATCACGGGGATGTAACAATCCAGAAGTGGATTGATCATGGCTGATAAAGATGATGATGATGATGATGATGATTTCACTCTCGTGTTCCAAAAGCAAATTATAGCAATCAAACAGCTCTATAGTGCTTAATCTCCACCATGAGAGTCATATTCTTGGTTCTTTCGGTAAAGTCACGTAGAAAGGGAAACAATAAAATAATAAAAACATAAAACAATATTATTTTATTGTTTCCCTTCTACGTGGGGACTTTACCGAAAGAACCAAGAATATGAATCCCTGCAGTCACGAAAGCTTTAAATCATAAGAGTCATGTTACAAAGTACTGATGACCTGCCCTGATATGCCAGTAGTGTGACAAACACCAGGCAAACACATAAACAGCACGAGTGTAGCTAGGATGCCAAAGCCATGAACCTACTACTGCCCAATCACAAACTGTTCCATTGGCTTCACTTATGTAACATGCTACTTCGTGACATTTAATCTGCATGACCCAACAATTTATCAGTCCAAAGTACGAGCAACACAACAGCAACATGACTACTCATATAATGGATAACCTTGTAACAAATATAACTTGCATCGTTTACCCTTTGGTAACAAAAAAAACCCACGATGACATTTAATACTGCGACATCAAAAAAACAATATTCTCGAAATATATTAACACTTGTTTATAATGCAAAACAAATGTCTGACCTTTAACATTAAAGCATATGATTTATCATATTGATTTTTCAGCGTTGCCCGTAAAAACGCTAACCGATCAATAAGCGTCACCACCAAAGATCTTCCGCGGCAGTTCACAGGCAGTGGTTGGGATTTCCCACTTCTTCAGATGGTGCTCAACATCTCCCATCGGGGCCCACCGGTGTCAACGTCACGGAAAGTGGCGCTTAATTTTGTATCGCGACGATGGGTCGAGAGTTGACTTATCTGGTCGAGAGCCCTTGGAAACACAATTTGAAACCTGCCAGAGAGAGCTACACCTTGGCAGACTGGCCAACGTCAAACTCAAACGGAGTTACTGACCCCCCCCCCCCCGCACGCCTTGGAAATCGGAAATGTTTATAATCCCGCTTCAGAGCTGTCAATGAATATGTAATATTTAAAAATACTTTTTTTTTAAACACTCTTTAATGAAATGTACCGTACGAGTAACGGCAGAACTCCACGACTCCAGGAAGTGGCCCCGAGGCTTGCCACAACGTAAGGGGGCCGTGGTGATTTACAGCCAACGTGAGTTGAGCGTGGACAATTAGACCCGTAAAAAAAGATTGTTTAAAATATATATTTTTATGTTTAATGATAGAATATAGTCTTGTCATCAGTATGACATACCTATACCAAGTTTGCAGTCGATACGACATTGGGAAGACGGTTGAAATTGAGTTACAAGATTTGAGGACACGACAACAGACGGAGCGAGTTAAATAAAAGCGTGGAAAAACAGAAGAGTACCACCCAACATTTCAAGTGTCGATAATGCTCTCGCACCATTGGAGCAAAAACATCATCGCAAACCATGCTGAATAATACCGCGGTGCACAACCCGAAAACACATTAGAGAGCCCGACCGAATTTGGATTCACTCGGAGAATAATTATAACTTCAACGTGCAACGTGCACAGTATTCGCTTACTGTTTTCGACAGAGAACAAATCAGAGGTGTGGTGGTGAGATGTCATCTTCCTCGCCTGGTATGCAGGAGGCCGGGGGTTCGATCCCGACCCCGACGCCTGTATACTTCGACTTTGCGTGTTCTCCCCGTGGTCGCGTGGATTTTTTTTTCCGGATCCTCCGGTTTTTCCCTCCATGTTTAGAATCATGCATTTAGATAGTTTTTTATTATTTTAAAGTGCTATAAATGTCCAAATGGTGGGCCACCTTGTTGAGCTATCATTGGTGGCCAGGTCGCTTCTGAAAAATAAGTTAATACCTCAGTGGGCTTTGCCTGGTAGGATGGGGATGGTTTAGTTTTTATTTATATGTGTTTGGGTGATTTGTTTACCCACTAGCAGAGCTAATGGAGGGGGGTGGGGTGGCACGTGCCCCCCCCCCCCCAATGATCCGATCGAAATCCCTAATTTCGATTGGATCATTGGGGTTTGTTAGTAATAAATCGGCATTTTGCGACCCCCACTGCGTAGCATATTATTACATTCCAGGGACTCTATGAGATGATAGGACAATAGTCCGAGTCCATAATTGGCAATAAGTAACGGCAAAGCGGTTATAAGTGACTCACAGAATTGTGCTTAGTTGCCTATACAGTCCACGACTTCCCTGAAGGTATTCACCTTCAGCGAGCGCGATGGCGATCACACAACGCGGTTCGAATTCGACCTTCGATCGATGGCTGTGCCTTCGCCGCACACGCGTGAAATAAAAAGCAATGGACAGGTCCTTACTTACTAAAATCTCCTCTATCGTTTTTCATTGCTGGAGGGGTTGCCCCTCCCTACCTGAAAATCCTGGCTCCGCCATTGTGTTTACCTTTCTTGTACTTTGCACTACTATCATGTTTTTGTACTGTTTGTTGTTGTAACGTTCTTACTCGCCCCTATGGGACATCTGTGAAAAAGAGCTTTAGGTCATCAGATTCCTCCAGTATCAATAAATAATGATCTGACTCTAACAAGCGGGAAGGCAGTCACACAATGAGCCGGTGCCAACACTTGCCCGAGCTCTGTAGTCCTCTATACATTAAGGTGTCATCGGCCAATTAATGAGTGTTCATGTGTGGGAGGAAACCAGAGCACCCAGAGCAAACCCACGTGTGCGAGGGAGGAAACACTATTCCATACAGACAGAACAGGTGGAGTCCACATTTTGCTGTGCCGCCTTCTCCTGGAAAGCCAGGGTACAAAGATCCCCCGTACAGCCTGAACAGACTGTTGGGGAACGTTCTATCAGTGAGCACCTACGAAGGCCGGAACAGCGCACGTGGGAGTCGGCGGCCAGTACCACGCCGGGTCGCTATCGTCTCCCCGGTGGCGATTATTAAACACTGCACCAAGTACTCATTTGAGGCCGAGTCAGTTGAGGCCCAGGACCAGTTTAAATAACCGTCACTGGTGTTGGCCGTGAGCGGGAATCAAACTCGGGCCGCGAGGTTCGTAGTGCAGCGCGGTAACCGCAACACAAAGCATCGCGCGCTTTCAAATGCGCTTATTTGACGGTCGGGAACGCTCTTCCTTCCGATATTCGGAAGCCACTGCAGCGATGCACTTTTAATTCTAGATTGAAAAACTAATTTCGTTTAAACTGATTTTTTGTGTTAAGTTTGCCGTCTTTCCCCGGCACCTCCGATCAGCGCCGTTGGCTACGTACGGTGCGAAAGAAGTTCAACATACATACAAGCAATATTTGTGCCGCGATCCACCAACCCTGGCTGCCTTTCGTGGTGAAGTATTACAGGCCACGTGCAGCATAGCCTCCACCGCCTGGCTCGAGTCACGTCCATGCAGCGAGCGTACGAGCGACGGCGGTTGTGGGGGGGGGGGGGGGGTGGTGAGCACTCACGGCAAGGGTGCTGTCGCCCACGTTGGACGTGATGAGCCCGTCGGCGGCACCGCGCTCCACGTCGCGAGCGTGCAGGTGGCGGGCACGCTGCTTGTGCAGCGATCGGCACAGCAGCGCGGCGGCCGTCAGCAGGGCCACGAGGACTACGAGAGGGCCGGCGATGACCACTGCCAGGGTGCCCGGGCTGTACGGAAGCACCTCGATCTCGTCTGTAAAGCAACGAGAGGCACGTGTGCATCACGCATGCACGCAGCGCGTGCAGTAGAAAACCCTGGTGTTAATTGCATATGTAGTTGTCCTTCCCCACCGGCACCTCCGATTAGCACGTTTGGCTATTTACGGTGCACAAGAAGTTTAACATACATGCATGCGTGTGCCACCAAGGGCTCATTCTCAAAAGGTCAGCTAGAATATATATTTTCCCCATTTTATGGCAGTGTTATTGAAGAATGTATTGATGTCTTTTTGTTAATTACACAATAGGTCATATTGCAAGTAACAGCACACATTGCTTCATGGTGTGGTTCAGCAATCCAGATACACCGAATGAGAAATACGTTAATTAATCCGGTTTTACTACGTACAAGCGTGATTTAAACGTGAATAATGCATAGAACTGCTGTGCTACGGCACCTGATTCAATGGCTAAATGGAAAGACCTATTCTCCAGATGGAGCCTGCTCATCATTCCTCTATGAAACGACAGATTAAAGCGCGCTCGTTCTATAGCTCGAAGACAGATCTATAAACATATTCTTGGTTCTTTCGGTAAAGTCACGTAGAAGGAAAAGAATAAAATAATAAAATTCTCACGACGTTTCGACTGCAACACAAGCAATCATCATCAGGTGTGAAAACCACAGCAAGAAAATTAGAAAAATAAAAAAGACGCCTGATGGTTCAATGAGCCACTCTGTCTACAGGAAAGCTACCCATACAGATGCTTACCTGAAACCGGATTCCCACCACCATCCATCCCAGAAGAATTCCCTCATCAAGACTCTGCACCATAGAGCCCAATGCATATCCGACCAGGAACACATAGCCAGTGAACTCAAGCACGTACACCAGCTCTTAAGGCTAATGGTTACTCCGACTACACAATCTGCAAAGCTATCACTCCAACCATGAAGAAGGACCCTCTTGAGGAGCCTTTCAAAACCATCACTTTACCCTACATTGCGGGGATCACAAAAAATATCTCCAAAATCTTGAATAAACACAAGATCCAGGTCCGATTCAACACATTACATAAAATCCGTAATCTGGTTCCGTCTGTAAAAGATGTGATTCTGGACATACAGTACCCTGGCGTCTACAAACTAAGTTGCCTCTGTGGTAGTAGTTACATTGGAGAAACCAAACGACATGTCTCGGACCGCATCCGTGAACACAAAGCAGACCTAAAACACGGTAGGACCAACACCTCGGCCGTGGCAGATCACTGTTATAATTCAGTAGGCTCACATAACATTGACTTCTCCAAGACAGAGGTTATTTGCAAGCCATCTGGCTACCATGAGAGATTCGTTCATGAGGCTATCCACATATACAAACACAGAGACAATTCAAACCAAGAAGATGGATTCTGGCTTAGCAATCATTTGAAGGATTTAATAAACCATTTCGGGTCTTAATTGATTGTTCACGCTTACGATGGCTTTCAGACCGCATCCATTATTTTCATCTCCCCCCTCCTCTTTTCCGAACATAGATGGACTCGTCCACCTGAATAACTGCCAAATCGCTCTCCGTGGTGCTAACGTTAAAAAAAACGCCACTTTTTTCAAATTTTCTTGCTGTGGTTTTCACACCTGATGATGATTGCTTGTGTTGCAGTCGAAACGTCGTGAGAATTTTAAATTTTTATTATTTTATTGTTTCCCTTCTACGTGACTTTACCGAAGGAACCAAGAATATGAATCCCTGCAGTCACGAAAGCTTTAAATCAAGATCTATAAACGTTACAGAATGTATGGTCCCAAATTTAAACCCTGGGATTGATCCATGTTTCCAACATGTTTTCAGGTTAATAATAGCCGTGGGGAGAGTTTGGTTATTACAAGCGGGGCACTTTAGGTTTGCAACTAAATCTCTATACCAGGAAGCAGCTTTATCAATGTAATTAATGTTAAAAAGCCAAATCCTTCACGATAAGTCAGTGTCAAGTATGTTTCATGTTTGGGCTGGTGCATAAACTGGTAACGCTAAACATGCATTTATAAAAAAAAATGATTAGCACAAGAAGAAGAATTAAAATATATTATTAAACGAATGAAAGTCGAATGATTCGTCAATAAAGTTTCTGTTTTGCAATGTAATTACCGGACGGTAATTTTAGGAGTGCGCAGGCTACTGAATGATAATCTGCATTCTGCCGCAAGATACACCACCGTATATTTCGGCGCTAAAATGCTCCCTCATTGGCAGGACCCATAAAGGAGTATTCTGTTTCACCTACTCGGGACAGTAAACATTTCATAGCTTTCCACAAAAAAGGTTTTCCGCTACCTAATTAGGCGTGTGCACATTACATGTTCTTCCATGCCAATGAGCATTCCGTGAAAGCATAGTTTGTGAATGAAAAACACACGTTACCTTTCCGTCTCGAGCATGACGCTACAAATTATGAATATAGCAAATGCGCATATATTTTTTATGCATGTGCAGACAAATCTAGTGTAAAGTCCCAAGCCCTGAATTATGTTTTATTCAAACAGGCAGACCGAGTGAAAATATTCATGTATTGCAGGGTTGGAAGCGGATTGTACCTGCATGTGACAGAAATTACTTATTCAAGTTATGTTTGTCCGCAGCACCATTAGCATGAACTATTATATTCTTGGTTCTTTCGGTAAAGTCACGTAGAAGGGAAACAATAAAATAATAATATAAAATAATAAAATTCTCACGACGTTTCGACTGCAACACAAGCAATCATCATCAGGTGTGAAAACCACAGCAAGAAAATTTTCTTCTCTCGAAATTTTCACACCTGATGATGATTGCTTGTGTTGCAGTCGAAACGTCGTGATAATTTTATTGTTTTATATTTTTATTATTTTATTGTTTCCCTTCGACGTGACTTTACCGAAAGAACCAAAAATATGAATCCCTGCAGTCACGAAAACTTTAAATCAAAACATGAACTATTATTCAAAATGTATGAAACATTTATTACTGCAGCTTCAGTTTTTCACATCATCTGCCAAACTACGTCAATATTCGAGAGTAGATAGCCACCGCAGCATTATACGTGCACTATATTGAAACTCAAATCCCTTGAAGTCTCATTTAAAAGCACATTTATTAACGGGACTTGAGTTGTATTTTTTGCGAATAACACGAATAACCGTCATGTACATTTCAAACAGACAATATTGACGCTGATACCAGTTTCTATGAATAGCAGCACTTCAATATTCAGTTTCAATGAGTAATGACTGTACACAGGGTTTAAAAGCAGACATATGGAAAAATATTGTTTTAATGTGATGGTGTAATGTTTGCGCTTTTGTTGAGGAGCATTAACATTAACTATTCATGTGGAACAAGGTTTGCCTCTTCGCTAATGAATGCAGTAAACAAATCCTCTCAATAGAAACTCAGCAGCAGGCAATAAACCTCACTGTCAATGTCTAATTTCATTGGAATACTCTTCACGGAAATCCTTTTGATCAAACAAATGTTCGTTTTGCCAATACCGTCGGTAGATGCAAGGTTTATCACAGCTGCAATATATAAATGCAGTGAGCAACGACTGTTTTCCAATGCATAAACATTAAAATACACTTTTTACACACCGCCTGCAATAAGGAAATGTATCATCGGTGTTCGACTAGTGCGTGAGGACACTGGAAGGGAAAAATCATGGCTCACACATCCCATGACCTCTCCAACGTACCCAACAGACACAAATTATATTAATGATAGAGGCCAATGCACTGTCCTGCACCATTTCAACCTTCTGTGTCTCGTCAGAGCTTTGCTGTTGGCTGTGGCCACTGCCGAGATATTTTTGTATTGTGCCGGCTTGTGTTTCGACGTCACATGCCTCAACTATAAAGAGTTTATGCATCGATATGGCGGTGTAGCCATGAAGCTCCGGCGTGATTTTCTACATTTTGCCAACTTCACCGTGAAGCCACTTCTGAACGTTGTGGCAGTGCTCTGCCGACAAGCACCGGCATCCAAAATGTCGATCAAGCAAATAGTCACAAGACTTTACACAGTCACCGTAGCCATGTGATATTCCCACCTATACCTCTTTTATAACAGGATTGTGTACATTCTACACGACTAAAATGTCGGTTCTTATACAATGCATCTGCAGCAATATTTCGCGCAGATTACATTGTTCACATATTTACCATGGCTGCCGTTCACCCATTGAGATATAACCGTTACGTTTCTGGTTAACTATTCTGTTGAGTTATCAGTTGTTTTTTGACCATGAGATTAGCAACAGATAGCAGACTCTTCCTACCGTGCCACAGGGCCTATGTCTACAATGAAGCATGCTTGCAGGAATTGACCTTTTGACCCCATGTAAGCTAGTTCAGTGACAAGCACTCTCATCAATATACTACCCATCTGCCTAATTTTCCATGTCACTCTAAAATGCAGAACATCTGTTGTGCAATTTTGACATATATTACTTTCTCTTCTCCTCTATTACATTATTAGAAGAAGCACATTAACTTTTGCATGGATGCCCTCTACAGACATTTCTGATTGAAAACCAGAAACTATGGTTTGTTTTTAAAATAACAGCCTCTAAAAAATACCTGCTGAACATATGGGAATTTTACGTCACTTTAAAATGAAAACATGTTTGTGCAAGCGTGGGGGTGATTTTAAAGGTGCACCATTAGCTTGGTCTTTACCTGTGCCTATTTATTACGCACTTTTAAGTGCACTATGCCTGAATGAATTATCTGTGCGATTTGAAAATAAGATTTTGGCATTAATGCGGTTCGCCCCTGTTTACTGCAATTTCCCCAAGACACCCCAGAAATGTGTAGAACATAGGCCTAGTATAGCATTTATAGACGGTCAATTCCACAATAAAAAATAGGATGTACATATGACATCACAGGCCTTACAGACACCTTGCACACTGTTTTGTGTGTCATGCTATACCTGCTGTCGACTCACATTGTATTATTTACAAAACAAACAGTACCGATGGTGACATTTGTGATTCTACGTGTCCAAATTCAGCCGTTCATCAATCCACTGCTGGACAAGGGCCTCCCCACACCGCACCGGTCGCAGGCGTTATTTTCCCATACCTCACCATGCTTGTCAATACGGGTTGGTGAATGCAGGCTTCAGACACAGGGAGTTATGCATTCAACACAGCAATGGACGTTCCTGCACTGCCCTCTGCTGGCCACCATGTCGTCCTGCAAGCCTATGATCCATACTCTTTGGTTCTATTGAGTAAAGTCACGTATTTGGTAAAGTCACCTACGTGACTTTACCCAATAGAACCAAAGAGTATGGATCCTAGCAGTCACGAAAGCTTTAAATCTAGAGAAGCCTATGATCACCTACTCGTGCACAGAGGTCACCTCGCTAAATACCATCCAACTGCTCAGCTTAATACTGGCGGTGGTGGCTATGCACGTGGCCTGTAATCCAGCACTGTGGAGACGAGGATTAGTGGACCACACAAACGTCGTGAAACTCCATTTTCGTGGGTGTCGAGATGCCATAACCCTGGGTCGCCAGGAGAAGGCAGTAGAGTAAGTGTACTAATCGCAATGTTTTGATTTAAAGCTTTCGTGACTGCAGGGATTCGTATTCTTGGTTATTTCGGTAAAGTCACGTAGAAGGGAAACAATAAAATAATAAAAATACAAAACAATAAAATTATCACGAGAAGATGGATTCTGGCTTAGCAATAATTGGAAGGATTTGATAAACCATTTCGGGTCTTAATTGATTGTTTACGCTTACGGTGGCTTTCAGACCGCATGCATTATTTTCGACTCCTCCCTCCTCTTTTCCGAACATAGATGGACTCGTCCATTTAAATAACTGCCAAAACGCTCTCCGTGGTGCCAACGTAAAAAAATAACGCCACTTTTTTCAAATTTTCTTGCTGTGGTTTTCACACCTCATGATGGTTGCTTGTGTTGCAGTCGAAACGTCGTGAGAATTTTATTGTTTTATATTTTTATTATTTTATTGTTTCCCTTCTACGTGACTTTACCGAAAGAACCAAAAATGTGAATCTCTGCAGGCACGAAAGCTTTAAATAAAACTTTAAGATCCAACCAGCTCGGCAAGGCCCTATGTGGCGGACAGACTGCGTCTACGTGTCTAAGCGTGCAGCCCAGCACACGGCTGTGCAGTGCTTACCAGGGACGGCCACGGTGGCGAGACGTTATCTCACTCGGCTGGTATAAAAGAGGCCGTGGGTTCGATCCCAACACTCTTGACGCCTGTATATTTAGAGTTTCTTCCTTCTTTTCCCCTCCACATTTAGAATCAACGTGCGCTTAGAGCATTTGGCTGCTTATAAATTTCCACATGATAGATAAGCCGCTTTGTTGCGATATCATTTGTGGCCAGGTCGCTTCTGAAAAAGAGCTACGGAGGGTCAGTGGGCCTTCACCTGGTAAAATAGGAAATAGTTTACGTTTGAAATAGTTTATAGTTTACCATCAGGGGGCGGTGTGGCGGTGAGGTTGGAGTTGCACCAGTCTCCTGTGCAGCACTCGATCACCACTTGGCTGGTCGAGGCGGGGGTGCTGCAGGTCAGCCGTACTTGCTCGGCATTGGGAAGGCAGCCTTTCAGTTCCACGTAGCGCCCATTAGTCAGCTCTAGGGCGGAATAGCAGCGCTGCCCGTTGCACTGAGACTCTTCGCCGCAGATGCCTTCGCACGCGCAGACAAACGGCGGGCTCTCCAAGCCCACATCTCATACACGGGGAGGCACGGAGAGTAAATGTGTTAATACACACGCGGCGAGTTAATGGTTGGTCGTTAGTTTGTTGGTACAGAATCGTTTCAATTGGTTATTTTGTAGAGCGACTTAACAAAACAGTATTCAATCTAAGTGTCTTCCTGCTCAAATGAGCAATGGGCAGCTATCTCCCATCTCTGTAGGCAGGACACCGACATCACTCTGCAATGTCCAAAGGATGAGCACTAGTGACTTTCTACAAAGCGTGCACGTTGAACTTCGTTCGCACCGTACGTAGCCAACCGTGATAATCGGGAGGTGCGGTGAAAGGACAACAAAACTAAACACAAAAAGCAGTTCTACAGATTTTGAGTTTTCAATCAAGAAGATTTCAAAGTGCATGGCTCCATGTGACTTCCTAATATCTGAAGGAAGAACCTTCCAGGTGGCCGCAAAAGCACATCGGAAAGCGCGCAATTGCAGTGACCGTCTTTGTACGACAGTTAGCCAAAAGCCGCGGCGAGGATGACCGTGAGAGTTTGCGTGATGATGGGTTTATGCTCCTTGACCAGATCTGCAAGGTATTGTGGGCCATTTGTGGCGAGCACTTTTAACGAGTAAAATGTAAATATCTATTTAATGTAGAACTTTGTATTGCTACATTTTCATTTGAAATATCAACAATACATACATTACCACCTGTAGTGGGGTCCATTCAAATATAGAGACAATCAATATTAATCCACTCTGTTAATGCCGACTGAAACTTCAAAGAGTGCGTTAACAGCAGTGTACCATGTGCATAATGATTGCACCTTGACCCTGCTGTTATGATGTTTTGGTTAATGGACCTTCTTCATGTACGGCAGTTTCAAGGACCACGGTGGTAACAGATTAAATAACCTGGGGTTATTCAGAATAATTTACCAAACCGCGTTCCATACTTGAATGATACTTGTAAAGCTAAAAATTATGGAGAAAAAAACTGAAATATTCTCACACATTCTTAAGTAAACATATACAGAAACCGATTTTTTTTTATTCGTTCAGCTGCTATTTAATAAAAGGACAAATAAAAAAATTATATTTCTTGCCACAAGAGGGCAAACCTGCATAACGAACAGCCTGCACACAGCAACTAGTTAAATCATCTTGGCCATGACAAACAAAAGCTCTTACCTAATGCCGCATATAAAAAAAATTGCAAAACTCACTACAATAACTTACTTTTATTATCAGTATTCCGCATGTCAAATGTCTGGCATTTCTACTGAATTTCTTTAAACTATTAAATGGAAGAAGATGATGAGACTGTGGCCCCCTGGAGGTGCTCCGGTTCTACTCCCACGTGTATAATAAACACTCGTGATGAATTCGCTGAAAACATCTTCTTTAAAAAAACCCAATGTAGCAGCAACAGCAGGACCCCCCCCCCCCCCTTCTTAAAAAAAAACAGTCCTAACGTCTCGGCGTGGATTTTTCCCTGGATACATAAGTAAACTTGGCACACAAACGGTCGCGTTATTTGAAGTCCAGTGGAGAATGTAAACGGCGTAGCCACATGCCCCATGCCAGGGCCTTCGCAGATCCTTGCTGCGTGCAGCTGTTACCTTTGGCTGCGAATGATGACACACAGAAGTAGGTCAGCGTGGCGATGCTCACCACCCACACCCCCATGGCAGCCGCGTACGCTGTGGCTGCAAGACAAATGCACGCACACACACACACACGCGCGCACAAAAAAAACTAATTCACTTTTGAAAAATACGTCTTAGAAACGTCCGCGAATCGCAGACTTCTCCACGAAGAACGCGGGCTCCGCGGCATAGACTACAACCGCGCCGTGCGTATCAAGATAAGTTAGCGGACAGGAATTCCGTCATGTCCTGCACAACTAAAGGCAATATCATTCTGGCACAAAACAGCGATACGCTGTGCATGGTAGCCCACAAATGGCCTACGCTGGCACTTTATCTGTGTCACGGGTGAGAAATTTTGGCAGGGAAAATGAGATCGGAAGAATGGTCAATACATGGCAAGGAAACCGGTAGTGTTTACCACTCAGGAGTCGCTACTAAAATAGAATACTGAAGCGGCAACTATTCATTGTTCTTGGGACATTATTCGGGTTTTGGAGGTGAAAACTGTGGGCACAGAACTTTTCTGCAAAGTAAGCCCGAGGCAGACTTTCCTTCACGAGTGTAAAAAAAAAAGCGGACTAATAAGTGTATCTTTGCTAAAATGACCATGGAGAGTGGAGCTCATCCCTGCTGGTGGCCCTGAGTCTGTGGTGGAAATTCCACATTCCAGTGGCAGAGGCTGGTATATCCAATTTTGCAAAGGTTAACTACTGTTGGTACTCATTTCACAATGAGTACCGTTAGGGTAAGTGCTGATAACGAGCACCTATGAAGGCAGGCACCACGCCCGGCCACCTTTGTCTCACTAGTGGCGATGTTTACACACTGCACTAAGTATTAATGAGGCTGAGTCGACCTAGGGGAGACCAAGATAATCGTCACTGGCGATGACCCTAAGTGGGTATTGAACCTGGGTCGCCGGGTTCGTAGCACAGCGTGCTAACCGCTACACTGCCGCTCCCCACACCATACACCTGGTCTTATTCTTTTAAATGAAAAAATAGGAATTGTATGCTACATTGGCATGTACCGTACATAGATTGTGTACTCATGGATTATATCTCGATAATGCTACACTACGGATTAATATAACTACAACTGTAAACAACACGAGATGACAATGTGATTCAAAGTGACAATGTGATTTAAAGTGTTATCTACTCAGCCAGGTAATTCTATTACAATTTAAAAAATATCAAATGCATAATTTAAATTGTTAAAACAATTATCGTGGCACTATTTCATGCAAAAGAAAATCCATGGAACAAGTAGCTGGTGCATTGTGTCTATTGGCATCCACAGAAAAAAGCACCTAGCAAATGTAAATGATAATTTTATATACATGGAATACTGAGTGAATGCTATGCAGGTTGTACCATGTAATTCAGTCAAATGTAAAGTGCGCAACATTTAAAGAGGCTACATGTAAAATATTGCTCTCACAAACTTTGCACGTGAACCCCAAAACGTAATGTCACCGCACACTTGAAGCGATACTGTTTAGCATAATTTGTCACACGAGTTTAGGAAATATTACTCATTGCCCAAGGCATAAGAGTTAAATAATAAACTTCCAACACACGTTTTGTAAGTATGCGGGTTAAGCTCTAAAGTATAAGAAAATGGCTGGAGTTTGCTGAAATTTGCACTACTTAAGAGCTTAAACAATTGCTGAAATTTTGCGGTTTTAGTCATTCATTTGTGTCTGCAACTTGCCAGACAGCACACTGTTCCTATCCGCATGTATACATTCTACAGTGCAGACATACGGTATGTACGTACATTATGCATGTAAATACATTACATTGGTTGAAGGATATGACACAGAACCAAAGCAGACAAGCACCACCACACTCTGACAAGTTTACAGAAGCCCCACCATACATTGTCGTCCTTGAGATGTTGTGACAATACAAAAGCCACGAGCTCGTTTTTTCGACTCTCTTTTCGCCTGCCCCAATTTTTATTCTTCGCAAACCCCACACCACAATGGGCCACTGTAACACCCCCCCCCCGCCCCCAAAGTAGAACGTTCCCTCTGTCTGACATACCCCACCGGCAAGCCGTTGGCACTGCGGCTCAATACTTTGAGGGCCTCTGCCCACCGCCACCACCGCAGCCACCACACGTGTTTTCTGTGATCACACCCAAAGTGAGCGTTGGCATTAAACTTCCATGTTGCGAGCGAGCAAGAGGGAACAGAGACAGTTCGCCGGCTTCGCAAACTAATAAATATCGCTCAGTGATAATGACGGTCACAGACGAGACTCGTATACAAAAAAAAAGACACTGCAACTTGCACACTAAAGTGTACAGTGGAATGAATCGGAAGGCTGCAATGACTGCGGCAGTCTGCGTTCCAGCGCAACACCACTCCCATTAGGCAATGAGCCCAGTCCTGGTGGCTTCTGCAGAATCTGCCAACAGCAGCAGAGGTGTCTGGCCAAATGATGAGCTTGCACAGAAAAAAATAATAACTATTCAATTAATGGCGATGATGAACACCGAAGGGGTTTGTAAACCGTCAAATCCAGGTCGGCTCATTTGGCTCTAAAATTTTAGAGTTGGCCTCGAAGCGTACACTTCTTCCGTACGTGCAGAGTTAATATAGGAAATAATTAGCTGCGGTATGGTTTATTTTGTTTTGGACAGTGGCCAATGTAATTTTAGTACACTATCAAGTCCATACCAACCTTTGTTGTGACAAATATGAACATATACTTAAAAGTTCAGCTAAATACCACGCATTGCTGAATACCTTGTTTAAAAAAAAATAGAGAGTGGCACAAATGAGTGTGTTTAAGCCACTGTTGGAAATGCTCTTTGATGATGATTTTCTTTCTTTCTTTCCCAGTGTAGTTTCATCACTCACAGTAGCACACGAGGCACAGCTGCACTCGGGTACGGAACAAAAACAAAAGAGGGAGAAACAGAAAAATAGTTGAGCAAAAGCCAAGAAGTCTGACGGTTTCACGTTTCCAAGTTCTGCAGTCGACTTGCCCTCAATTTGCTGACAGCAACTCTGCCACTCTTGCAAGTTAAGACGCTCGAACAAGGCACATGTCCTTATTTCAATCCATAATCAGTCTAGTATCTTCAAAAGCCTAGTATTCCGAGATAACCGTCATTACAGGCGTATTTCCACGGAATGTTTTTGACATAACAGCTTCGTTGGTTTTTGCTTGACAATTGAACTCCTGTGAGAATAAACCAACCCGTATATATTTAAACATTATGTAAAAGTACAGAGCCAATGAACTCGAAAAGTGGTATTCACTCTGACCCCGAACCACAATGGCACACCAGACACACATTTTCATTTATTTAAAATTATGCGATCGGAAGGTGAGTGCAAGATACAGTGCAATATATGGCAGTCGTGAACCTCACCCCATCCATCTGCTCCTTCTGTTCACTCAACCTACTCGCTACCCTCTGTTCTCTTTAGCAGCCCCATTTTCTCCTTTTCCCTCTCCACGATAGGTCAGCAAAGAGCCATTTATGTGCATCACAATCCCTGCCCCAAATGTCACCAGAGTTGGTAACAAATATGAACACCACTTTGTGGGAAATCAACAATGGGCTTTCGATGTCCGACTTCTTCCGGCTATCCCATGGATAAACTGCTCCCCACCATAGACAGTTCGAATTTACACCGCTGGATCAGTGCTGGCAACATAGATGAGTTCTCGCCAAGTGCTTATTTGAGCATAAAAGCACTGGAACTTGCCTTTGATGGGAACATTAGTAACTAGCACAATGCTCCATTATTCGATACGTCAAGATGAAACGCAAATTGAAATAAGCCGTTTTCATTATCAAGTGCTATAAAGAGTTCGCACTGCCTATATAGGGAAATACAATTACGATATAATTTGGGACTTACAATGCGCTTATTCATCCAAATACAATTGCGTCTCAAATACAGCAATGGAAAAGGTTTGCCCTGCAGACAACTTTCATGGCCAATTCAGTTAAGCAGTTTGGCTGACAAAGCACTGTGCACTGCAGTGCTCATTAGGCTGTGATGGCATCATTAATTGCCAAAGGCATGCGTTTGATTAGCACAAATACACATCTTTTAATGCACCACTGCAATGCGGTCTACAGCATCTGCCGCGCACACAAAATCCTGGATATATCTGGGCCCATGATACAATGTTAACGTTCAATATGTGAATGTTTACAAAACGTTTCCGCAATTTGGCAGTGCAGATACGAAGCAGCCCGAGCAATCTTGAAGTCCTGAAAAAAAACCTCAATGTAAACACAGAGGGCTTCTGTTTATGGCACACTTTGTTTAAATGATCTTGGTTCAGCTACATGTCTACACAGTTGCCTCTTGCAATCCCGGTTCTCTTTCGCAATAACCGAAAGACATTAATCCACAGACTCAAACAGTGCCATGACGATCAATATAGGCAGCTGACATGAAGTCTGCCGTGAAGCTGCCAGACTACGTAGCCAAAGCGACTGCACGCAACTCTGCTTAGTTTTTTTTTTTACACGGCTGGAAAGCCCAGAGGTCAACAGGTTCAGTAATTTGTACGGCATCTGTGGTTCAAGTTATACAGCCGGCGGTGGCTAGGAGATGTTATCTCCCTCACCTGATATACAGGAATGTCGTGGGTTCGATCTCGACCCTGACGCCTGCTGTATATTTGGCATGTTCTCCTCGTTGGTCGCTTGGATTTTTCTGAGGGTCCTCCGGTTTTACCCTCCATATGATCCTCATGGCGGTAACCCGGGGTACCAAAAAATACAAAATGGCAGAGGCAATTAAATATTTCATTTCTGGGACACAATTTTTTCCAGGGGTGTACTTCACTCCACGACTGGGGTATCAATCAATCCGAAATCAGTGCACGACTCCGCGATGTCGAAACGCAGCGAGGACGATTGTGCCGAAACCCTGAACGCTCGTACGCACCGTGGTGGTGCATCGTAGTGTACAGCTCGTCGAGAGGAGTCGATTGCCGCATAGCCGACCATCATCAGACTAACAATGACTGCATCACGGGGTACCACCATGAGGTTCATATTTAGAAACATGCGTATAGAGTATTTTTTCTGCTATAAATTTCCACATGATAAGCCACTTCATTGAGCTATCATTCGTGGCCAGGTCGCTTCTTAAAAAGAGGTATTAGCTCAGTGGGCCTTACCTGCTAAAATAAAATTAGTAAATAGTCAGTCTAATCTCTATAGGCATTATCAAAGTACCCCATTTGCTGCGAAGTGTAACATCAACATTCGCTCTACAAAGCTATTGCGTGAAACCGACACAGCACAGCACACAAACTGTACTGCAGTAATGAATGTGAAAACTGCCCACTTAATGATTAATAGTCTACACAGCAATGGTCTCTCTCAGGGCTCACTTGGAAAGGGAAGTATTGTACTTAATTGCCTCTCACCTGGTGAAATACAATTATACAAACATGAATAACACAAAACGTGCTTTTATTGGTGTGAAGTACCAATCATTACTACAGAAATTGAGATGTACGTACAGGGACTCCTCTACTTACGAACATTCGACTTATGAACTTTCAGAGATACGAACAAACCTGTCTGTATGTCCAGTTGCCTGTTCGGACCGAGAGTCGTAAGTTCAACTGCCGTGCAATAGATGGTGGTGGTGGCATCTACATCTGCAGAACATGAAGAACCAGTGGCATCTACATCTCCAGGGAATTAAACAACTTTTAAATCCACGCCGTACAACAACGTTTGGAATCGACAGGAGAAAAGTTGGACTTGGGAACAAATCGACTTATGAACAGACCTCTGGAACCCAACTCGTTTGTAAGTAGAGGAGTCCCTGTAACAATGTCTCGCAAATATCACAAACGACAAGAATCCGGTGTTGCCAACTAATCGTCCACATGGTGGGCTCTGTTTGCTTAAATCAGTGCTTCTCAAATGGGGGGTCATGACCTCCTGTAATCAAGGGGGGGGGGGGGGTACGGAAGTGTCTCCCCTACTTTTGTCTCTCTCCCGATCAATCCCTCGCTGGGCCATTTTCTCTCCCTGTCTTTATTCCATCGTGTCTCTCTCCCCATCTCTCTCTCTCTCTCCTTGTGTGTCTCTATTCCCGTCTTCATCTCATTACCGTCGATTAGCACGGTTGGCTACGTACGGTGTGAAAGAAGCTCAACATACGTACATGCACCACGTCTCTTTCACCTCCGTGTGCGCATGTGTTTTTTTTCTAATTGTGTGCGTGTATATCCCCCGTATCCCAAAACTTTGGTTGAAAAAAAAAACTAAAGTATATCCAAAGTTGCTGTTCCACGTTTGTGGAATCCCATTATCGGTTAAACTGCAGCTTGGTTCCCTCCCATCCCCATCACTCCCCCTCTTTATTTGCCCGTAAACTGTAAACCAAACACACAGCATTCTCGCACCTGTACCACGTTTTTTTTAATTCCGAAGCCTCTTCTTACTCCCCGCGCGTGTTTCGTTTATGACCGTTAAATGCCCTTCTTGTTAGCCGCTGTACTTACTCGCTCTCGTGTGTTTTTTTTGGTCTTTATTTTGTTGCTGCTGCTGCTGCGCTCACGCACCACGGGAGATACATAGCCGGGCTACTGGCTAAACCGGACCGGCGTGTGAACAAATCAAATAAACGAAGCCTCTTTCCCCGTCTCTCTCTCTTGTCTCTCTTGTCTCTCTGCCCATGTCTCCTACTGTGTCTATTCCTATTTCTTTCTCTCCATCTTATTATAATCCCATCTTGCAAATCGCTCACATTTCTCCCACTGCTCTCAATCTAATTGTATTTCAATTCCTGCCTTTCCCCTCCCTCGCCTCTACTCATGTTTCTCTCCTTGCGTATCTCTTCCGATCGCTCACGGTCCTATACGTGTGTGTGTGTGTGCGCGCACGCGCGCGCACATGTGTTTGTGAGTTTTGTGTACGTGTATTCATACTAATCTTGCTATTGTGTAAAGTTGCATGCAATAAATACTCTGTACGAGTGTCCATACACGTCCATGTGTTGTATGTGTGTATGTTGAACTTCTTCTTTGGTTCTTTCGGTAAAGTCACGTAGAATGAGAATAAAATTATAAATTGGTCTTTATTTTGTTGCTGCTTCGTGAGAATATTAGTGTTATTTTATTTTATCAATTTATTATTTTATTCTCATTCTACGTGACTTTACCGAAAGAACCCAAGAAGATGAATCCTTGCAGTCACGAAAGCTTTACATCGAAATATGTTGAACTTCTTTCGTACCGTACATAGCCAGCCGTGCTAATCGGGAGGTGCGGGGGAAGGACAACAAACCAGTGGCTTACTAATATCAGAAGGAAGAGCATTCCAGACGGCCGCAGGAGCGCATCTGAAAGCGCTCGACGCAGTGACCGTCTTTGGTCGGTGGTTCGCCAAAAGCGCTGCGAGGATGACCGTGAGAGTTCGCGTGATGATGGTTTATGCTCCTGGACGAGATCAGCAAGGTAATTGTGGTTCATTTGTGGCAAGCACTTGGGTGTGCGTAAATGAGCGCGTTTAAAAATGTATTAGTTCAGCAACCGGCAGCCAATGCAGTTCGGCGAGCCACGGGTGGACAAATAATAGCTCAACGAAGTGGAGTCATCGTCACGTGAAAAATTATTGCGGCCAAATACTCGACGCGTGTGATGCTGATTATAAATGTAGATGGAAATACAGGAGGACCCGGAGAAAAAATCCACGCGGCCACTGAGAGAGAGAGAGACATGCGAACTCCAAATACACAGCAGGAGTCGGGGTAGGGATGGAACCCACGACCTCCTGTATACCAGGCGAGGTAGTTAGTATGACGCCAACGTGGCTTCCCTAATTAAATTCGCAAACCGAATCATTCGCCCTTAAATAATCTAAAGTCAACTGGGCAAGTTGTCCC